AATTTTCTCTTTAAAGATTTTATGTGTGTGTGCACACGTGTGCTTGCACATGCATGAACATGCATTGCACATGTGAATGTCACTTCCTGTGGAGGACAGAAGAGGGCTTTGGACCCCCTGGAACTGAAGTTACAGGTCATTGTGAGCTATCTGACGTGGGTGCTGGAAATCAAACTCTGGTCCTCTGGAAGAGTAGCAAGTGCTTAGATGCTCAGCCATCTCTTCAGGCCCTCAGAAATTTTTCTTAATGAATACACTACTTTATAATGATAATAAACTTATTTAATAAGATTATTAATTTTAGCTGTTTTTAAATTTGCTTAAAATGAATTCTATCTCTTTGAATATTTTTCCTATTCAATACATGGATATAATCTTCTTTTCAACCTATAGTAATAGACAAGTACGCCAGTAGCTTGTGCAGGGAATGGCATAAGTGGGCATCAATGAAGGATCACCTAAGTCAAGAAGTATTAAGGACACCTTGAAAGAGGAAAAACACCAGAAGCAGAGGAACAAGTGGAATCCAGTGGTCAGGGACAGACACAGGAGAATTTTAGTATGTTGTGGAAAATTTATAATCAGCATTATACATTGAAGAGTTTGGGCTTTAAACCGAGTGCAGAGAAGAGCCACTGAAGGGTTTTAAGTGAGGATATTAGCATCAATCTCATCTTTTAGAAGGATGAATGGTTGCAGGTTTGGGGCACTGGATTTGAAGGTGAAGATACTTTCAAGAGAAGTCATGAAAACCAGAATACAGACAGTATGGAAAAAGAAAACTCTCATGCTGTCTTTAGCCCCTGGAAGCCATGTCAGTGCTTAGCACTTTTCATCTAACACCTTAGCAGGAAGGTAGAGGTGTTGATTCTACTTAGCAGAAACTTTTGCCTACCTTCCATCCCAACTTCATTTTAAAATGTATTTCACCACCTAGTTTGACAAGTCTGAATCCTTCAGCCACATCTAAAACTCTATTGAGCATGAAAATTTTAATATATCAGACATTATCATTCCTAGAAGTATGTAGTATTAAAGCAGTGTGTGTTTATCTTCATCTTAATAGTTTGTTTCATTAATAAGTGGAAGTTACTTGAAATGACTATTCACTTTGAAATTTTGTTTATTATTTTATTATTTAATGTGTATGAGTGCCTGTATGCAAGCACAGTTGTGTTGTGCAATTCCCACGGAGGTCAGAAGATGGCGTCAGATCCTGTGGAGTTAAGGAGAGTTGTTAGCTGCCATGTGGGTGCTGGGAACTGAACCCAGGTCCTCTGAAAGAGCAGCCAGTTCTCTTAACCACTGGCCCCACTCTCCAGCCCCAGACTATTCAGTTTTTAGGGAAAATCTTACCAAATTCAGAGACTTAAAAAGAAGAAAAAGGAAAACATCATTAAGAATTCTTTGTGTTTTGTTTGTTTTGTTTTTTAATTGATCTATTGATCTTAGAGCTGGAGAGATGGCTCAGCAGTTAAGAACACTGAGTGTTCTTACAAGGGACCAACAGGCTAACAACCATCTGTAACTTCAGTTCCAAGGTAATCTGACACCCTCTTCTGATCTCTGTGGCACTGCATAACACGGGTAAACTTACATAAAACAAGTAATACATTCATATGCATAAAATAGAACAAATAGGGCTGGAGAGATGGGTCAGTGGTTAAGAGCAGTGACTGCTCTTGCAGAGGACCCAGGTTCGATTCCCGGGACCCACATGGAGGCTATGAACCTTCCTTAACTCCAGTTCCAGGGGAATCCAAAGCCCTTTTCTAACCTCTGAGGCATTTGCACAACACAGGTGCACCCACATACATGCAGGCAATATACTCATACACATAAAATAAATAAATAAAATATATTAAAAAATAGAACAAATAAAATATATTTTTTAGAATTGAACTGAATGTATTATTGAACAGTGATAAGCACAAGCTAGGGAGTGGAAGGAGTAAAGGATGTACTGAAACAGAGTACTATATCCTAGAATTCTATAGCATGGTGAGGGGACATGTTCTTCAATTTTACACTAAAACTACAAAAGTGAAGCTTAAAGGTGCCCAACACTTAGAATCATTAATGATCTTGATTTGACTGGTATGCACTATATACATGTGCTGAAATGTTAAACCCCATAAATATGTATATTATGGTAATCAAAATATTTTAATTGTTTAAGGAGATAAAAATATCAAGTTACTATACTGTAGCCATAAATTTGTGCATAAAAATGTTTTTTTAAATCTTAAAAATGGAGAAAAAATTCTTTAGAATGATCATATAAGAGATTGCAAAGCAACAATCATAAAATATATTTATAGACACCCAGCACTGCAGAAGTGAATTCCACACATTCTTGGAGTTTCATTGCATCCTGCTAGAAGACCCACCTTTTATCCCTGGGTTCTACATGCATCCCTTCAAGGAGATGTCATGCTGCTCAGTAATATAGCTAGTCAACCAAAAATTGTGACTCCCCACAAAAAATTTAAAAACTAGGGACTGGAGAGTTGGCGTAGCAATTAAAGGCACTGACTGCTCTTGCAGAAGACCCTCTATGGACACTGCACAACATTGGTGAACTTACATACATGTAGGCAATATACTCATACACATAAGATAAAATAAAAATAAAATATTTTTTAAGAAGATTTAAAAACTAAACTAAGTTTATCAAAATGTTTATGGAGATACAGTCAACTGGATACATATAAAAAAATGAAGCATCAAACCCCACTTAAATAGTGTATAAGTATGGCTGCATTCAATAATGTGGTGTCATAAAGAGAAAAATGTGTGTCTTCTCACACACTAATGACTATCTTTAATTGTGCTTTTTTGAGAAGCGCTTCTTTTTCTTAAACTGTACTTTTTTTTACTTTTTTCATAAAATGTCACATTACATGTATTAGAAAATTCAGTTCCATTTGTTTGTTTTAATATGGTCACTCAGTAAATCAGAATACATTACCCTTATGTTGATTTGTCTGAGTAATTTAATGTCTAACCATCCTAACTCGGAGCTCCAGAGAGCATTGAACATTGGAATCATAACTATTAACTATTGTAGTTGGGAGAGATTTGGGAAGGCATGTTAGATTTAAAAGCAATAAATTTAAACTAGAGGCTGGACAGCCACATGAATATGTCTGTTGAACTGGAAAAGCAGGTTAGAACTACACATGAATATATCCAACACACACCTGCACAAAAAGTGGCCTGGTGAAAATTTAGTTCAGGGGGTTCTACAGGAAGGCTAGGATTGTGAATCTTCACAGTGCTCTGAACAAAATAGTTGATTTAGAAAATAAGAATACAGGGTGACAGAAAAATGGTCCAAAAAAGAGGCTGTTAGTGCCAGGCAGCTAGTCTCTGTGTTTCCAAGGCCATGAGGGTTGTTAAATCATTGTGCAGCCATCTTTGCATCATTATTGAGACTGGAGCCTGACCCCATACCAAACTGTTCTTTCCTTGAGTCCCGGGAGTTCTTCATGTTAAAACTGCTTTCTATTTTTCTTTGCCACTCTTCGTCCCTTTTTTCATATAACTGAGTTTTATAGCATTTTAAAATTTGAGATTTGGCATCTCTGCGACTGCTTTCTGAACCATAACTTCCCCTCACTGCAAAGTCATAGTCAGCTTGCATTCTTTCTTGGGGTTCTGCATTTCTGGAGCACCATGCTATGGTCCAGATACCACATCTTAAGGCCCACTACTTGCAGATGTCCAGGATGAGGTAAGAGAAGGTCCATAAATTATACATAAGAACCATGAGGCAAACAGTATCAAGATGATACAAATGAACTGCAATGTATCAAGTCTAACAAGGGTCCTGTTGGAATATATAGCAAAATAAAAACTCAACGTAAATAGTCACCGCGATGGGGAAAAAATTGAAAGAAATCTTTTTTAAAAAAAATGCATTGTGCAAACATATGAGAAACAAAACCAAAAGAAGGGAGGCAATGGGCCTGTTGTAACTACAGTCATTCTTCAGTAGGAAAGAGAATTAGAGCAAACTACCAAGGACACTAAACATAAATGAGGAAATTAATCAGATTATAGAGAAGAATTAGTCAAAAATCAACACTGAACTCTAACAGCTTTAGTTTTTTACCCCAAGATCACATAGTCACCGCACCAGAGAATGTTCAATTTTATATTTCAGCATCTTTGCATTTTAAATCTTTCCATAAAACTATTTAGTTTACAAAAATTGCAGTTGAACCAAAGCTCTTTAATGGTTTGTTTTCTGTCCATTTTGACACAACAAATTTAGAACTTGATAGGACTTCGACTAGCCCAAAAGGACAGACCAAACAGTTTACTGGACTATATAGGTTCATTGTGAATATAATTCGAGTTCTTATCATACTGAGCATCCTCAAGTGTTATGCATGTAGTATTCATGGTTTAAGCCACTGCCAAATACTTTGAATGTGGCAAGACTACAAACTTCATGGCAGTCCACTAACAGAAATGCATAATGCATTTTTAATCAACTAAATGATTTTACTAACAAGTTTGCCTGTTAGAAATTGTATCCAAGTAAATAAATGGACATATGAAACATGTCCATATATGTTATAGAAATGTACATACTGGTCTAGAGAGCTGCCTTAGTGGGTAAGACTGCTTGCTGTGCAAGCATGGGAAGCAGCCTTCAAATTCTCAACACCAATGTAAAAGTGGGGGGGCAGGTTAGCTGCACACACCTCTAATCTCAGCACTGGTGGGGAGAGACAGGATGATCAGTGCAGCTTAATTCATCGAGAGACTTAAGTGAACAAGGCAGACTGTTATGAGCAAGACACTCATGTCCTCCGGTCTTCTGGGTGCACACAGACATGTGCACCTACATACCAATGTGCAAATATACCACACACATACACACACACACACACACACACACACACAGAAAACATTCATACAGGTGAATATTAAAAGTGAAAAAGTCCTTATTAGAAAAAGCGTAACTGGCCTTGATGACAAATCCCTACCTGTATGTATTTGTGAATGTGCCAAGAAGCCTGCTTTCCATCGTTCACGGACTCCACCGTAGTGTTCGCCATACCCACAACATCACCACCTGCAAACACCCATGGTTCACTGGTTTGCATAGTTTCAGGATCTACTTCTGGGAGACCCCATCTGTTAAACTGTATGGGACTCAAGGCTTCTTTCACTGAAAATAAAGGGAAAGACAACAGGTAATGACCAATAGGTGTATCACGAAAGAAGTTGAAAATTAAGAAAAATTATAGTTTAATTACTGTTCTAGGGATTCAAGCAACTGTTTTTAAGGAATAAGGAAAATAAAAAGTTGAGAAAATACCAGAACTAACGTATTAAAGTACATGGACTTAACCTACTTAAAATATATCTCACATGTAGAAATTAAAAAGATTTGAGCACTATTTCAGAGCTTGTATGGTATCCAAGGAGAGGACGATCCACAAAGAAGTACAGCTTTGAAATCCATGTAAAAAAAAGTTTTCTAAAATGTATTTATCCATAAATTTGTCACTGTCCACATGAGTCTAGTCTTGTTCCTGAGTGCCACGGGTGCAGCTTATATAGTTAAGTTATGGATTCCAGTCAAAGTCCAATCTCTTCTTCTTATAACAAGAAATTTAATAAAGCAAAATAATAGAGCATTACACATGGTCACAAAATCATTTGCTCCTACTTTTAAACAATTTGTTGGACCTGGTATACAGTCATGTGGAACTAAAGTATCTACTTTCTTTGTTTCATAAAAGCCAGCAGATACAAATATCATTAGTTCTTTGTGCAAATCCTCTGTAAATTCTTTTATAATTATTTGATAAAAATACTGTGTCTCACGTAACCTAAAGATGTCATGGGAAATGGAATGGGTTGAATTCCCTTAAAAAAAATCACATAAAGGAAATTTTGATTGGAATTATGGTCCTGAGCTTGGGAAGAGAAAGGTTGTCCATGAGAAGAAAGAAGAAAGATAACACCCAGGGAGCAAAGTGTGCTGGGGGTTCAGGGTTGAATGTTCTCTCTGGGTATCCTGTCATGATTTCAAGTGTAGTATCTGGATGTAAACAAAAGGAATTACTGTGTATTCCAAATCAAAAGAGAGAGACAGAGAGACAGAAGTAGAAGGACTGAGATAGAAAGGGGGGGCATAGGAAGGGAGGGAAAGGGAGAGAGAAAGAGAGAAACCAAAGAAATGCTTGCAAGGACTTGAATTAGGAACTTTAATTTTTGAATGCACTAATAAATCATGTAATATAATGAAATATGAACAAAAGGTCTAGCCTGACATCTAAAACCAATATTTTCCCAAAGCAAAATAGAAAACACTAGACACCATAAAATGAGCATGGTGAAAATACAGAGAATAAGGAATTATCAGGTGTCTAGCTCCAATTGATCCATCTACAGTGAAATCCCATACCTGATGCTTAGGGAACATCATGGAAGAGGATTTGGAAAGACTGTAAGAGCCAGAGGACCAGGAGCCCTATTGCTAGATGGTGTCTTCTTGACACAGGGAAGCTTCACCCATGAAAGCTCAGAAATATGGTTGCCTAAACAAGACCTGCACAAAACCACTCCAGCTGATGTACCAACATGGGTGGAGAAAAATTTGACAAGGTCCAACCCCTAGATGAAGACCTACAAGCAATCAAAGGCTGTTGAGGGAGGAATAACAATATTCCCCAGGGATGAGATCCCTGATAGGTTTCCAAGTCCTAAATGTTCAGCTCTAGGCACATGTACATATGAGCAACACTAACTGAACTCAGTGGGGTTTTTATCTATATATCTATATTTATCTATATTTTCTATCTATACATCTATAGCTATCTAGTCATCTATAGCTAGCTATTCATCTATCTAGCTAAGTATATGTATATATGTGTGTATATATATATGTGTGTGTATAACAATAATAATTATAGAAAATGAGGTTATGCATTTGTGAGGGAGCATGGGAAATATGGGAGAAGTTGGAGGGTAGGAGTGAGTTGTGGAAATGATGTAAACATAGTATGCTCATGTATAAAATTCTCAAAAAATTAAAATGAAAAAAGAGCCCTGTTATTTATTTGTAGCTTTCTATTTAAAGAAGTAGAAGAAGACAGCTATTCTTGGATTAGCGCTAACTGAAGAATAGAAGTGTGTTTATGTGTCTTGCTCCTGTACTACAGCGCCACATAGAGTGCCTGGGCTTTAGAGGACACTGGGCTGGCTTGATGGATGCGTCAATGAATGAGTGCATGAGTCAAAGCTATCATAGTCAGGTTGCTATTTAAAAATCTTCTGCTATTTGTATTTCTTATGCTATTTCACCTTTCATCAAGAGTAAAATTAAATATTCATGTAATTATTTTCAATGCAGAATGGCATTTTGAAATTTTTCTAATGTCTTTAAAAGGTCACATGAAAAGAGACCTTTATCATTGTTCCCCATTGCATAACAGATCATCACTACCATCTGTTGACAGTTACTTGAGTTGCAAGAAAGTCGATAGTGAATGTGGCTCATCAATTCAACATATTTCAATACATCATCGTTGAGTGGCACATATAGTAAGTTTTATAAACATAGGCCAAGAGTCCTAAATAATTATCTTCAACAAGAAGTGATCTTATTTGTCTAAAATTTTGATACAATTTTGGTCCAAAGAGACCAAAGATGGTTTTAAAACAGGAAAGAATTCAAAATTATTTCACTAGATCAGAGAACTTTTATACATTTAATCTCATTTTTTGACAGGAAAAAAAATCCCTGAATGCAAAGTACAGATTTCACTCTGAGCTTGAGCAAAGTAGGGATAATGTACTTAGTTACTATTTTCTACAACATCTATTACAGACATATATAATATATTGCAAAGGCACTGAAGTTTAAAGTAAGGACTCCCAAGCCTGGGCCTGTTGTGAGGTCTTACGACTAACATGAAATTTGTAAATATTCCTTTCCATTTTTGTAAAAATTTTGAAGTACTGGAGATTGAACCCAGGATTTTGTGCATGCCAGCAAGTACCTTACCACTGAGCTATATCCCCAAACCTTAAAATATTCATTTTCATAAAAGGGAGCACTTACATTAGATACATTTTGGCCTCACAAAATTTGGAACCACTTGACCCAAAATATTAGATTCATAATTGTGAATGAATGTTCCCATACACACTCTTTTCAGAATTAGTTCTTTCTTCAATTTATGGTTCGCTGATAGATCAGACTTAACCTGAATATCAGCTGTTTTAATCATTTTGTCATTTGTAAAATCCAGCTAACCTCATTAAAATATCAAATAATTCTTTGATTCTATATTCCAAACTAGAAGTATTCATCTTTGAAATTAAAAAATGATCTTAGCTTTCTGTCAGAAATTACTCATGGAATTGCCTCCTGCTCTTTCTAAAGGCCTTCAAGTTTAGCATGTGTCTAATTTCATTTCAGAAATTCAAAATAAATGAAAGCGCACACAAAGCTTTGATATTATGACTATCAATCAAAATAGAGATCATTTGCATTGGTTTTAATATTTAATGTTGGACTTGTTAGTATCTACAAGAAGACCACTGAAAAAGGAGAAGACAGACAAATATATAAAAATATAAAAACAAGTCAGAAATGCTTTCTTTCTTTGGCACTGAGCAGCTATGCTAAGAAAGATTACTATAGCATCTCAGATGACAAGAAACTAGAATCATTTCCCTATAGATAGAGTAAACTTTGATTAAACATATGTGATATTTATATATTATTTACAAGTTCATTAAAACTTCAGAGACTCTACATATGGTGCAAATAATAACCTTTCCTAATTTTATGGGTGTCTGTGCATGTCCTATGTACTTTTAACTGTGGGTGTGTGCTCATATGTGTGGAGAACAGAGGTTGATTGGGTATCATTCCTTGATGATATTCCACCTTTATTTTTTGACATAAAGTTTTTCTCTGAATCTGCAGCTCACTGATTGAACTAGACTGGCTGGACAATGAGCTTCCAGAATCTTCCTGTCTCTGTACCCACCAGCACCAGAGTTTCAGGCACATAAAACTGTGCTCAGCTTTATTTGGTTCTGGGGATCTGAATTCAGGTGTTCAGGCTTGGGCAGCAGACACTTTAACCAAGGAGCCATCTGTGCAACCTCATGTTTCTTAACATCAATGACTTTTGAAATATAGCCATTATTCTTACTATTTTACTGTATTTGGCAAATGCTGTAGTATCTTATCTAATACCCGTCAAGAATTTGGTAAAGAAAATCTCTGTGCAGTTTTTTATAATGTGTCAGTGAGGAATCAATTAATGAAGTTCCACATAATGAGACTTTGATCCCCTGCATCACTGTAGCCATCCTTCACAGACTCCTCATAACTCTTCTATGCTGAGACATTGACGTTGGAGTTCAATGTAAACAAACCTCAGAAGCAGGTCTCTTCTACTGCCTTGATGCAGCTTGGAAGGAACGGAGGCCCAAGTGGATGAAAAATGTATATTTACATTTGCAAACCAAATAACTGCTTGCCATTTCCTATGAAGTGTTAAATGAATATTAATAAAGGATTGTATTTTTTCTCCCTTGTTTATAAAATGAAGGAGGTAGACATTTTCTGTTATGATCATGAGATTTTCCCACAGATTTCCACAGGATTTTATCTTGATGGAGACAGACATGTGTCCCAGCAGCTCCATAGTTGAATAGAAAAAGAGCTTTAAAAAGAGCCCCCTAACATGCTTATTCACAGTCCATATTATTCTGTAAATGATGGGAAATATGCTAACTGATATGGTGCCTTGAATTTTATGCAGTCTTTAAAAAGAACGAAAACATCCTTAATTCATCCCAAACATTCAAGATTTATGTTAATTTTCTGCTTTAATTACTACTGTGTTCAAATGAGCTTATTTAAAAAACAAAGGCACTCCGAGATAGCTTTATAACAAGAAATGGTTTTGAAATAGGAACTTTTCGTCAATTTAATGTTATGCATGAAATGATTTTTTTTTACATGGACTTAATTGTATTGTGACACACGAGTTCTTCAATAAGCCACAGCTTAAAATTGCAGAAGCTGGCCCTCGGGGACACATCACCAGCAGATGCAGATTGCCAAGGTCAATTAAACTGATATAGCTGTGCTGTCATACATGTAGACGAGAAACCCACAAGCATATGACAAGTATA